TGGATGACAGTAATACTGATGGAAGACATCACAGTATTGGAATGGTCAAAGGTGAAAATGCAAAGGCAGGATTAATGCTGCAAATAAAGAAAACTAAAATAATGACGGCAGAAGAAATACATAAATTTAATCTAGACAATGAGGAAATCAAAATAGTCAGAGAATTCCCATATCTAGTATCAAATGTTGACCAGACTAGTGACTGCAGTCAGGAAATAAAAAGATTAGGAATGGGTAGGACAGCTATGAAAGAATTAGAAAAGAGTCTAGAGTAAAGATATACAAATGAGTACTAAAGTTAGAATCGTCCAGGCCATTGTATTCCCCATCATCATGTATGGATGTGAGAATTGGACAGTAAAGGAAGCAGACAATAAGAAAATCAATGTATTTGAGATATGGTGCTGAAGAAGAGTGCTTAGGATATCATGGACAGCCAAAAAGACAAAGAGATGGGCCCTTAAACAGATCAAACCAGAACTCTCCTTGGAAGCTAAGATGATCAAATTGAGGCTGACGTACTATGGCCACATAATGAGAAGGTATAGAAGACTAGACAAAATAATAATGCTAGGAAAGGTAGAGGGTAGAAGAAAAAAAGGAAGACCGCATGCAAGATGGATGGAATTAAATGGGGGGGGCACAGGCATGGGTTTGCAAGGCCTGAGCAGAGCAATGAAGAACAGTGAGTCTTGGGAGGGTGTCTTATCCACAGGATTGCCATGAGTCAGAGTTGACTTAAGGGCAGCTAGCAACAATAACGTGAATGTATCACAGAGTTTTCTTGGTGAGATTTGTTCAGAGGGGGTTTGAAATGTTGGAGGGTATGCTGCCAGCTCCCCTATGTACAAGATATACACAGATGCTGCAAGGGAGCATGCTAAGTAGCAAACAAGATGTACTTTGTTCTACCTCAGGTGACTTCTTTCTTTCTTACAATCCTGCCTTCTACACCACCTACTCCACTAGGCATCAGCCACCACTGCTGGTGTCCTTCCTATGGTCCTCCTGCCTCTAACAATCTAAGCCAAATCTTGTTTCTATGTTTGCAGTGGGCTCTTGCCATTTGGTTCCAAGACCCTCAGTGGATAGCAAAATCCATGGATGCTCAAGTCCCATTAAATACAATGGCACAGCAAACTGGTGTCCCCAGTATAAAATGGCAAAATCAAAGTTTGCTTTTGTAAGCCATGGATGCTTGAATCCGTGGATAAAAACAATCCAAGGATACAGAGAGCTGACTGACATGAAGAAATACCAACTGTTGGCCCTCTTGTTTGGTTGGAATTGATACCTTTTGGCAGAAGGTGGTACTAACAAGAGTGTCTAAAATGGAATGAGAGATGGACAGGATTAAATGATAACACAATGTTGGGAAGCATGTCTTAAATGGTTCCTCCTTAAATGTTGTTTGCTGCTCTTGCATTGCAGGGTGGAGACTCTGGGCCCAGTGCAGACATATTGTGAACTATGCTTAAATGTTTAGGGAATATCGGACACATTTGCTGGAGTCATCTGCTGGTCCTTCAGACTGTGAGGATCCAGGGGCTGCCAGCCAGCAGGACTTGAGAACTGCTTGGCAGCCTCTTTTGTATTGATGATAGTGCAGGAGGCAAGGTTTGATCAATAAAGTAGCATTACTGCTTTCTGTCTGGGCTAAGAGCAAAAGAGACTAGCTGGTGCATATGTGCTCCCTTGGATTTAATTATATATCACATTGATTTTTAATTGCTACTTGAAGAGGATGCTTGTAACAGCAGCAGACTAGCAAGCAAGAGCTCTGCCTGCTTCTCTAGAATTTTCTATCAGGTACAGACAAGCATGGATAAGAAGGATTGGAGGAAAGTAGATGCAAGGGCCAATGTATATTTATATTTATACACATAAATATGTATATTTATTAATTACACTGGTGGCTGCCATTTCTTCCAGTAAGCAAAAGGAGGCATGTATGGTTTTCCTTTTACCCCACTTTATTTGTGCAACAACCTTGTGAAATAGGTCAAATGGACAGAGAGTGACTTACCCTGTGAGCTGCATGGCTTAGTAGGGACTTGAATCTACATCTCCCAACATTTTAACCACTGCAAAACACTGTCTGTAATGTGGTGACTCCTTTGCACTGTCAAATGTCAACAGATTTACATGTCATGTGACAGAGCCAGTAATAGAAGAACCCAAGATAGCAAGGGTACTACATTATGGGCTGGGAGGAGAAAGAGATGTGTGTATGTGTGTGTGTGTGAGAGAGAGAGAGAGAGAAAGAAAGAGATGGATGCAGAGGCCAACTGTAGTTGTTGTTGTGTGCCTTCAAGTCATTATTTATTTAATTAGTTATTTCTAATTAAGTTACAACTGCAATGTAACTTGGGAGTTTATCACACGGGAAACAAGCGCCCTCATCCTATAAGTAAATGGTCATTAAATCTGTGAATATTCTGCAAGAGTGGGATTGTTTTCACAAGACATTGTTTGAAAACAATCCTGCTCCTGCAGGATATTCACAGGATATAATGTCCATTTATTCATAGGATGCGGGCGCTTGCCTCCCATGTGATAAACTCCTTAGCTACATCTTCATGATTGGGAAAAGGGAAAGAATGGGCTGAAGTATTGTATTGTTTTAAAGTGTACTGTGTTAAATGCTTTTATCTTTTTAAACTGCATTTGATTCTTTTAATGTGTGATCTGTTTTAATATTGTAATAATTTAATTCTGTTTTAATGCAACAATTTTGTATGCTTTTAACTGTACTGTTCATTTAAATTGTAAGCCTCTCACAGTCTCAGTTTTGGGGTGAAAACAGGATACTACTACTACTACTACTAATAATAATAATAATAATAATAGGAATTCATTTAAAATTACTTGTTATTTATAAATATTTACTTTCAAGTTCTGGGATTTTGCAGCCTTTTCTCACAGGCAATGGCTCCAAGAAGAGATGTGCCATGAACTGTAAGACCTACTGTGCAAAGCTCAGTTTCTCAATAATGCCAGTCTTGAGAAAAGAAACATGTGGTTGCAATGGATAGCTCATTTTTTTTGTCTGAAGGTGAGAAAAATCCACAACAGGAAAGTCTCAAATGAACTGGAGGCCTGTGGCCTATAACCACCAGCCTTTAAACAGGCACTTCTTATCTCTGAGTTTTGGGTTTCGATTTCCCCTCCAATGTTCATTGTTTGGCTTCAACATGTGCAGGCGAGGGAAAGGAAAACGTGCAATCTATTACAGCTGGCGGCCAGGCGGTGGTGGCAGAAATGGTGGGAATCACTTGCATTCTCTGTGGAACTCAGGAGACAAAAAGGAAGCCATAAATAAATTGACTTTGCTGTGAGATTAAGGCCGCGGCCCAATTAAAACCAAGTTCTTCCCAAGGGAATTGGACCATCATCTCCGTTTGGCGTTTCCAGACATTTAATATGCTGTGGTGTGAGAAGAAGGGAGATGGATAATGAATGGGAAGTCAGAAAAGAGCCAGGCTGGAGCAGACCAAACCTCAAGGGAAAGCCATATTCAGCACTAGCATTCTCATTAGACACTTAGAACACTTTCTCAGGCGATCTTAAATTGCAACATTTGAGAAAAACTGTTTTCCTCACACAGAGAAACAGAAAACCTAATGGGAAGGCACTGTGTCTTTCATCCTCTTACTATAGAAGATAGAAGGGGGGTAGTGGTGATAGGAGAGAGATGAATCCAAGCATACAGTAGTCCAGAAGTCTAAAACCAATGGTTCCCGCAATACCATTGGAGTGTTTATGTTTTTTAGAGGTTCATTTTCCACTCACCTTATCAAACAGCCATCTGATGCCCAAACTATATGTGTCATAAAAATAAAGGTTGAGTCTCCCTTATCTGAAATATTTGGGACTAGAAGTATTTTAAATTTGGTGTTTTTCAGAATTTGGGATTTTTTTGGAATAGACATCATGAGATAGCTTGGAGATGGGACCCAAGTCTAAGCATGAAAGTATGTTTTGTATACACCTTATACACATTTGTTGTTTGTTGTTAACAGCTCTTGAGTTGATCTCAACCCACAGCGACCCTATGGATGAGACATCTCCAAGACCCTCTGTTCTCCACTGCTCTGCTTAATGCCTGCAAACCCATACCCATGACCTCCTTAATAAAGTCCATCCATCTGGCATATGACCTTCCTCTCTTCCTACTTCCCTCCACATTTCCCAGCATCGTCGTCTTTTCTAATAAGTCTTCTCTTCTCATGATGTGTCCAAAGTACGCCAGCCTCAGTTTGGTCATCCTGGCTTCCAGGGAAGTTTCTGGCCTGATCTGCTCCAGGACTCATTTGTTCGTCTTTTTGGCTGTCCATGCCTCAGCACTCTTCTCCAGCACCACATCTCAAATGCATTGATTTTAAGATCGTCTTTCTTAACTGTCCAGCTCTCACATCTATGCATGGTAATGGGCAATACAATGGCTTGTATGATTCTGACTTTTGTTCTGAGTTGTATA